ATATTATTCGAGAACTGTTAGTAACGTATTTTTCGAACTATGATGATTTAGATTTGCGGAATATCTGAAAATGTCTTTTAAGAGAATTTATTACCTTTATATAGGCATAATCTAGGGTTTATGGTTGAGTAACCTTCGACAATCCTAATTTGAGTTAAACACAATATGTAGAGTCCTAACTCGAATTGAACGCATCTTGATAGAACTATCTTATGGTCGGGGTTCATCCTAACTCCCTTAAGCGAAAAATATTAACTTTTATTCATGTTTAAAATAAATTCTTTTTATGCATATATATATATATATATATATATATATATATCCAATTTCTTTTGCATAATTCGTATGTCTACTTTTCGTAATTCGAATTTCATCCGCGAAAATCCCTAGCAACGGAGAATGAACCTTCGCTGTGATGGGCCTCGATATTTCAAAATTTGATACATGGGCCAGGATTCATATTGATTGGATAGTAAAAGCCTACCCAATGGCGTAATCGGGTCCAACCTGAAATATCCTAATCGGTACACTCATGTTACCCTTTTCAAAAGTGTAGAAAATCACCATTCTCGATTTCTTCACTCTCCATTATCTCCTGCAATGGCGTCCATCGCCGCTCATGGTCTCGCAATACCAGTCAACCGTTCTCACCGCCGGCTCAATTCAGCTAATACAACTACCGGTACCTCTGTCACTGCTGCTTCACTCCATCCCCTTACAATCAAGTCAAAACTACCGTCATTTTCATCTTCGCAAAACCCTAAACCCTCATCCTCAAACACCCGTGACAATTCTAACATTTTTGCCTCAAAACAGCTCCAAAATGTGGTGAAAACCTCCGCCGCCATTGGTGCTGGTTTTTACGCGCTCTCTAGTGGTGTGTCTGATGTTCTCCTCAGTGGGAACGGTGGTGGTGGATCCGGAAGAGGTGGTTCTGGCGGTGGCGGCGGAGGCGGTGGAGATAGTTTCTGGTCGAAGATTTTCTCTCCTGCCGCGATTGCAGGAGAAGAGGAATCACAGGAATGGGATTCGCATGGATTGCCGGCGAATATTGTGGTACAGCTGAACAAGCTCAGTGGGTTTAAGAAGTATAAGGTTTCCGACATCCTTTTCTTCGACCGCCGTCGTGGGTCGACGGTTGGGACGGAGGATTCGTTCTTCGAAATGCTATCCTTGCGGCCAGGTGGTGTTTACACAAAGGCGCAGCTCCAAAAAGAGCTAGAAACGCTAGCAACCAGTGGAATGTTTGAAAAAGTTGATCTTGATGCGAAGACTAACCCTGATGGGACAGTCGGGGTCACTATATCCTTCTTGGAAAGCACTTGGCAGTCAGCTGATAAATTTAGGTGTATCAATGTTGGGTTAATGCCACAGTCGAAACCCATAGAGATGGATGCGGACATGACGGAGAAGGAGAAATTGGAGTATTTTAATAGCCAGGAGCAGGATTATAGGAGGAGGATAGAAAGGTCTAGGCCATGTTTGTTGCCGGTGTCGGTGCAAAGGGAAATTTTGCAGCTGTTGAGGGAGAAAGGAACAGTTAGTGCCAGATTGCTGCAGAAGATTAGGGATAAAGTGCAGCAGTGGTATCATGACAATGGATATGCTTGTGCTCAAGTAGTTAACTTTGGGAATTTGAATACAAAGGAGGTTGTTTGTGAGGTGGTGGAAGGGGATATTACTCAAATGGTAATTCAGTTTCAGGATAAGCTGGGCAATGTATGTGAAGGCAACACTCAGTATCCGGTCGTCCGGAGAGAATTGCCTAGGCAGGTAAGAATTTCTTTAATGCAATGGACTTCGTTTGAATTTTTGAGTTCGTTTTTAAAAGATGCTGTTAAATTTGGTTTCCATGTTGCATTTTGTTTGTGTCATTGTATTTATAGAAGAACGACTGCTTCACTACATGGCAGAGCTGAATGTTGTGCATGTTATGCTTTTGAATTGCGGGCTTTCCTTCATTGGATTGATTTTAATTTTGGTTGGTTTGATTTAATAATATGCATAAATTTGATTAATGTATAGTCGTTGTTGTTTCTTAAAGTGCTTTATTATTAGTCTGCTGATGGAGGTACTACAATAGTTTTTTGCTTCATCGTTTTAATTTTTGACTGCACTTCTGGTACAGGTTGATGATTTGAGTATTCTGTTGAATCTCATATTTCTTGCTGGTCTGTAGCATGTGTAGTTGTCCTATATCTTTTGGTTCTTATTCAGTAAAACACAGAATTAGTCTAAAGTGATTTTTCTTATCAAAATTTCTTTCGACATTCCTGCACTTAGGTATAGAATTTTATGTGTATAATTCAATTCTAGTTCTTTTGTGCTCCTACGCACTGAAGCCTGCAATGTGGGATTAACATGGCTCTAACAATGTGTGATAATTTAGCTTCGTCAAGGGAAAGTTTTCAACATTGAAGCTGGAAAACAAGCTTTGAGAAATATAAATTCTCTAGCCCTCTTCTCTAATATTGAAGTCAACCCTCGCCCCGATGAAAAGAATGAGGGAGGGATAATTGTTGAAATTAAGCTTAAGGAATTGGAACAGAAGTCAGCTGAAGTCAGTACTGAATGGAGCATTGTCCCAGGACGTGGAGGTCGCCCCACATTGGTACACTATTAAACATCTGAACTGCATAGTTTTGGTATGGATTATTACTGTTAGCCCACTGCTAAGTGCCTTCCTTTTCTGTGTCATGTATTCAGGCTTCAATTCAACCAGGTGGAACTGTTTCATTTGAGCATCGGAATCTTTACGGGCTCAATCGCTCAATTCTTGGTTCAGTTACCACTAGTAACTTCCTCAATCCTCAGGTTATCATTTCATTATGTTTTCGTTTTTGATGCTTTTGGTTGTTTTCTGCTGTCCTTTGTTGCGGTGTCTTACTCATTAGTAACGATCCCAACCTAATTTTTTTTTACAGGATGATCTTGCATTTAAGTTGGAGTATGTTCATCCTTATTTAGATGGTGTTTATAATCCTCGAAACCGTACACTCCGTACTAGCTGTTTCAACAGCAGAAAGTTGAGTCCTGTCTTTACTGGGGGGCCTGGAGTAGATGAAGTCCCTCCCATTTGGGTTGATCGTGCTGGACTTAAAGCCAACATTACTGAGGTATGCTAACCCTGGTATAACTGTGATGCATCTGGCGAACAGGTTTCAGTTATGAAGTGTTTGTCTAATTTGTAGAGAACCTTTATAACATTTGGTGGTTAATAAGAAAATTCAACAAAACAAAAAAAAAGGATCTCTCTCCTGGGTGCTTAAATGACTTGTTAAATATTATGGAAGTTAGTATTTCATTATCAAAAAAAATTATGGAAGTTAGTATTAATTTTTTTTTTATAAAGCTTGGAAGTCGTATTCATAGGACAGTGTAGAGTGTCTGTTTTGATTACTCGTTTGGGACTGATAAATTTTTTTACATATATAATGTACTAATTACCATATGCATTTAACCATTTGTTTGCTGCAGAATTTCACTCGTCAGAGTAAATTCACTTATGGACTTGTGATGGAAGAGATAACAACACGTGATGAAAGCAGCCACATCTCTGCTCGTGGACAGAGGGTATTGCCAAGTGGTGGAATTAGTGCAGATGGACCTCCCACTACCCTTAGTGAAACTGGCATTGACCGTATGGCATTTTTACAAGCTAACATTACACGAGATAACACCAAGTTCATAAATGGGACAATAGTTGGTGAGAGGAATGTGTTCCAGGTAAGATTAGTTTCTGTTTTCTTTGTCTTCTCTCATTGAGTTTGTTTTGCAAATCAAAGTTTGGAGTAGCTTTTGGGCTCAACATTTAATAATTGACTGTTTCCTATGCTCCACAAGTCCGTTTACCTTATGACTTCTGTTGCTACTCTGACAAGTCCTCTAATTCATGCCGTAGATCTACGAGATTTTGGATATAAATTTCTGTTTACATTTCTTTTATGGATTTTAATATACTTATTGTGTTACAGGTTGATCAAGGACTTGGAGTTGGCACTAAGTTCCCTTTCTTTAACCGTCACCAGCTGACAATGACCCAATTTATCCAGTTAAAGCAAGTAGAAGAGGGTGCTGGTAAGGCTCCACCACCTGTGTTAGTCCTCCATGGCCATTACGGTGGATGTGTTGGAGATCTTCCCAGCTATGATGCTTTCACACTTGGGGGACCTTATTCAGTCCGGGGTTACAATATGGGAGAGATAGGTGCAGCCAGAAATATTGTCGAGGTATGTATTGTTTGTACTATCAAAGATGCAATGTGTAACTATTTTCTCAGTTTTTGCTTCAAAATTTATCTAATGTTACTGGTTGCAATGCTTCGTCCAGTTGGCTGCTGAGCTGCGGATACCTGTTAGAAACACACATGTGTATGCATTTGCAGAGCATGGAAATGATCTCGGGAGTTCGAAAGATGTCAAAGGAAACCCAACAGAGGTCTATAGAAGGATGGGCCATGGCTCCTCATATGGCGTCGGAGTAAAACTAGGTCTAGTACGAGCAGAATATGCTGTTGACCACAATTCTGGAACTGGGGCAGTATTCTTCCGTTTTGGAGAGAGATTCTAGTTTCAGATTTCGCTGTCAGATTCTCTTTTTGCAGCTAGTCGGATTTAATGAGTCAAGAACTGCACACGGTTCTGAGTTTGGTATTCAGTAAACTCTAAAAGTTTGTTTGATAAAAGATCTTCTAAGATTATGGTTAGAACCTTCTTGAAAGAAAGCAAGTGTATGCTTCATTCGTGTAACCCTAAAAATGTAATATAGGTATTTGTGCATTTCTTGTTCCAAAATTTCAATTCTTTCCCTTGGTTGGGTTTCTTGTAATAACTGATTATTGCTTTGATTGGAATCTGCCGTTATGATGATTTCTATTGATAATACAATTACACAATTCAGCAAGACAGTATAAGAAATTCAGTTACTGTATGTCTGTATCCTCCAGATGATCGATTATCAAGTTTGTCATATTAGGAAACTGGGGCAGCAACATCTAGGTGAATTAAGAAAACATATGATACAATTAACTCCAATAATATGTACAGGCAGGTTCTTCCATCTAGTACAGAATTTGAAAGCAAGCACAAAACTAAAGAGATAAAATATGGAGCAAATAATTAATTTCTTATACAAGAAGAATATAGGCCCATGGGAGTTGGGAGAAGGACGAAGATTCAAATACCCAATATGTTGGGGCTGCTGACAACGTTTTATATTACTCTCTAGATCATTGCGATAAAAAAAAAGGTTCAACACACCCATTACTAGAAAAACGATACACCATTTATCATACAAAGGACTGGTTGGTGTTTGTAGTGCAAACGATTTGTTGCTGCTGGACGAGACATGTTTCAGGAAAAAAGACAATGCAAGGATAGATCGGACCAACTGCCTATCTGCTGTCTAACTCATATTTGTCCCACATTTTACCAGAGAACAACACCTCATGAACCTGCCATGATTCCTCCACGATCAAATGACATCATCCAGGTCTACACTACAAATGAAGTTACGCTGGGAGCTGTTTTTATAATAACTAAACGTTCAATAAAACATAAGTACATGTAAAGGCATGCCACAATTTTCCAGTATGCGTAGAATGCTCACTCTGATTTGCAGAAGCAACTCTGCTCATCAGAAACAGAAACCAAGAAAAATGCTTAACATGAATAAATGAAGCTCTCCTATTTACCTAATTTGTCATTTCCATCTTTACAGATCCTAACTCCCAGATAAAATGATCAATATCCCCAACCCTCTATAACAACAGTATTCTACCTACAAGTCCTAAAGCCCAATAATGACATCTGCAAGCTATTGTTATCGTAAAACCCAAAAATAAGATCTGCAAGCTTTCGTATTAAACTCTTTCAGCTTTATAAAGTTTCACAACTGAATACACTAAAAGACCACTAAGATGAGCAAAACACAAGATTTATGGACTATGAGTAGTGGGGTGATCCTATGTTGCCTTCCATTTCTAGAAAAATCATGGATTCACCTCTAAATTCATATACGAAGAGAGTGCCTTAACATAAACATTTAAACCACAGTACTGACCAATACACAAGCAAAAAGTGAATTACATATATAACTCACAGAATTCTTCTGTTATGTTAGAAGATCTTTCGAGTTAGGAACCTACAATCAGAAACAATGAGCTAACAGGAATGCTACTATGCTAGGGAAATAAGTCCAGTATTTGACAAGAGACCTTTTAGAAACTTGTGTTTCCATAAAGAGCTTGATATTTAGAGAACTTAAATTTACTAAAGAACTTCTAATTTGCTTAAAAAGATAAATGATTCAGTATAGGAACTATAAAGGAGTGCAATCGTTACAGGACTCATATAGCCAACACAACTAGTTTGGACTTAGGTATACTTGATTGATTGTTTACCAATTGACCAATGCAAATTTATTTTCTTTACCACAAATGCAAGATTATATGCTCAAACACACTGTCCTAGTTACAAACCACCCGGTCAGAATTCTAATAACTTAAATCAGTATTCATCCCTCTACAAGCAATTGTAAATAATTGAGTTCGGAAATCTATCCCAAAAAAATGATAACTTTTTCCTCCAAAATACTCAAATAAACATTTTAGGATATGGCAGCTCGGAAAATTAAAGGATCTTACCCCAGCTTGTGGAGCTACTTATCATTAGAAGCAACAGGATGATAGTAACCAAAATTATTTCCAGACCAATCCCGCTGTTGCACCACATTATAGTGATGATGAAACCCAAGTGGCGGTCCACCCCCGTAACCAACAGGCATGCCTACATGTCCTCCATTTGGCATCCCCATCATTGGCATCGCCACCATTTGTTGTTGGTACGGCATCAGAGTTGGCATTGCCATGTGGCCATTAGTATTGCGGAGGTGACCACTCTCACTGGACTCACGCATAATCTCTGTAGCCGGTGTGGAAGTCAACAAATGATCAGACGAAGAAGGACCCTCGTTCGGCTGCATTCTCTTCGTATACAATCTGTATTTCTGTAAATGACTTGCTACGTTCTCTCTCGTCAATCCTTCCACATTCATAAGCTGCATAATTGTTTTCGGCACAGCCCCTTTGATACCTAAGTGCGCCACTACTTCAATAAAGCGCTTGTGTAACTGCGGCGTCCAAACAAGTCTGGGCCGTTTCAGAGTCTTAGCAGACGAATCATCCGCAAAATTCTCGTTACACAGAGATGAATCAGCCTCCTCAGTGCCTCCGGATTCAACCCGCCGGAGCTTCCTCGAGTCGGATCCCTCTCTTATCAGATCCGTTTCATCTCTTTCAGTAACAGTCTCTTCTCTACTCCTCTCATAGCTAAACGTCTTGAAATTAGAGTTATTCATCGAAGCCATATCCTGTGAGTGCCATCTCTGGAGAGAAGAAAACGTATTCTGCGAAGCACGATTTACATCGGTCATCGTCTTTGACAATTCCGGCGAAATTCTGAACGCAGCAGCAAGTTCCGACGGAATCAACTGCATATTCAACGGTGTGAGATCATCGACATCGGGAAGTCCAATTTCCCAGAGAAGTCTGTCATCGTTACCACCGCTTGATTCATAGTCGGTCAGGCTCACTTCTTCACCCATGGTAACAGTATTTGCAAGTACTAAAATCTTCTTCCGCTGGTGGAGTATATTCCGGCGAATTTGAGAGAGATGCCGTTGAATGAAGAAAAATGGAGAAGGCGTAGAAGATGAGGAAATGGGAAAGCAATAGGCGGTGGAAAATGGAAATAAATAAGTTAGGGAAAAGTTGGATAGCGTAATAAAAAGTGCAATATCTCATTGCAACGTGGCGCGGGCCCACTACCACTATCATTGCCAGCTGGATGCTTTACCAGATATTTATCATCACTTTTCTTTGTTAATTACGCCCCTAAATTATTGAAAATTAGTATAATTACGCCCTTCGTTTATCTTTTTGTACAAAATACAATCACTCGTAGTTCTAAGCCTTTTATACAGAGAACACTCACTTCAACGATATATATATATTTTTTTTTGAAACAGATCAACTGGAAATAAAAATAACAATTTAATTCATCAAGTATAAATGAAAGATAAATTATCTAATTTTTTTTATTTGATTTGAAATTATACAATAGATTAAATGGATTATATCAATGATCTGAAGTGAGCATATATGTTACTGAGGCTTTTAAGCAGAGCATATGAATTTTATGGCTTTCAATGTTCAAATTTGCAATTAAAATTTTAAAATATAAATTACATAAAGGTTATTATTTAGTAACTTGTAAACTTTATGTGTTAGTGTCGTTGTGCTTGTAGCTCCCAAGTACGATAAATTAAATATTAAAGTTTCTATTATTTGCTCTATTTTTAATATGCCACCTACTTTTATTGCACTTTGCTATGTCTTTTACTTTTTAAAGAATTGACCTCACCTATTACAATATATATTGATAAAAAAAAATAGATTCTCACATTATCCAGAATCAACTCTCTTATTTATTTTCTCTTTTTTATAACAATATATTCAACGTCCATATTCACAATGCACTCAATTATCCTATAAAATAAGTACAAGTTGGCCGAATACTTCCAATTTACTATTAAAAAAACTGTAATGACGATTAACAAAGATTACGACTTACGAGTAGTTAGTGGACAGACGTACTATCCTGCTTTTAATAGTCTGAAAATTAAATTCACCATTATTTTGTGGAAAAAAAATGAAGAGAAATCTATTTACCTAATTTCTGAAGATACATTGTACCTAACAATATAACTATTATAAATATCAAAATTAACTGTAACTAAAAAGATCAACAAAATAGATGCTCCAATCGATCATAGACTAGATAGTTGAACGTTTTTCATTATTGGAATAAGATAGAAAAAAATACCTCGTGAAATTATCTATATCTACATTTTATATAGAGAACTTAAATCCACCAATCGAACACAAATAAAAAATTCTCATATGCATTTTACTAAGACTATTTAGACACTCAAAAACTAGAGATTCTTTTAATTCCTCACACCTATCTACCCTAGCATTAATCCGTTTTTAACCTACTCTGAACTAGTATAAGTCCAACAACAGTGACTTAACCTTAATTCATACAAATTTGAGCTAAAAGTCTTAACGTAAACAGGCTCTCTGCCTCACAAAGGTACGGGTAAGGTCTGTGAATGTAACATCTTACCTTCCCCACACCCCCACGTGTGGGATTATACTTTGTATGTTACTGTTGTAATATGATTTGGATAAGCCAACACAGCGAACATAGCAAATATAACAGCATTGAAGTTGCAAGTTAAGCAAACCAAAACATAGAAGGAAATGAGACATACTTGGCCATGATAGAACGTTGTCAATACCATACATAAAAATTCTGGCTTCACCTAAAACATCAACTTTCCACATGGCGACATTTTTGTACAGTCTCGTCGATATAAAAACTACCTCACCTTTTTATCATTTATACACCGTTTAGAGACTTGATTTTCCTCTGCATGACTATCAGGAATATTAGACATCCGAGCCCCAGCATACCTGATCCTATGTATAAACGTCCAACTACACAATATACAGTTCTCTAGTACAAGCAACAACTTTATTTGCAATCACAGCCCATAATGCTCTCAAAGAGAGTTCTAGAGCCAGAGCACAAGATACGGGGGGAAATAAAGGAAGAGAGGTAGCTCAAACTAGCCTCGGTCAGCTGTACAACTTTTTTCCTAAAAGCTAAGCAAGATTTGGAGACTGAGCAGCAATTCTTCGTTCTGCAACATCCATAAAAGCAAATCATTCAGTATCATTGTAACAAATAGATAGGCAGAGTTCTAGTTAAATACAAGCGGAAGAGCTGCTTACCTCCAGCTGCAACAAGTTTCTCAACACGAGCAACAATGTGCTTTCCATAGGTGTATTTCTTCAGAGCATTCAAGTGAACCTTTATTCTAGAAAGGATCAGCTCGCGTTGCTGATCACTGCATGTTTCCAACACCTTCTGTACAACGTAATTTGCAAACTGATCTTTCATCATTGCCTGGGTAAAGGAGGAAGAAAAATGAGTAAATAACACATTGAAAGTAACGAGTAACGACAACATCCACATTAAGACATAGTCAATCAGAGAGACATGAAATGCAAAGGCAAGGAATGCAGACTTGAAAAGTGAAGCCATGATATAATATCATAATGAATGGAGAGAAGAAAAGAAGGGAAGAGATGGAGATTAGCAAGTCAAACCAGTTTTAAGGTAAAATGTGGCCTAGAAAAACTGAAGCTTTGATTTAGCTTAATAAACCTATGAACAAAATTTAATGAAGAAGACAAGAGAAGAGGTGACGGAGATTAGCAAGTCGAACCAGTTTAAAGGGAAACTGCAGACTTGAAAAGTGAAGCCATTAAACGGTTAGTATAACTGAATGTGTTGTCAATCCAAGGAGACAAGAAATAACACGTTAGATGCCATAGACAGTCATGAGTCCATAATGCAAAAGTGGAAAACATTTTGAAAGATATCAGGACTGGAGAGTTATAAGGCTTTCCAGTGACAATTAAGGTAAACCATGTTTGGCTAAGAGTTACATAAGTATTTCAAAGGTAAGCAGCTGGAATAATAGAAAGGGGATCAAGAATAGCTAAATGAAGTACCACAAGAAAAAAATGATGTTGTTCTATCGATTTTGTAATCTTCACGGACCAAATGACAAAATGATTCGGAGAACTCATAGTAAAGCATAATTACTGTCGAGTCCTGCTACAAAGTGAACAGTCTACACAGTGTGGACTGTGAAACAATCATTGCTCAAGGATTCAATTTTTTTTGGAAAACACATGCTTGCTCAAGGATTCAATTTTTTTTGGAAAACACATGCACCTTACTAAGTGGAGTGCTTCTTATGGTTGGTGGACAAAGAGGCTAGTTTAACATAGGAGATCTTCAAAATGAGGTTTCTCGTTGAGCAGCAGGCACCACTTGTGTGGAAAAGATTCTAGTAGTACCGGTTTATTAGCCACCCTCTTCTTTAACAGTAAGGTGTATGCCTTGCTATGGCTTAGTTTTCTCAACATACTGGGGTTTCGATGGGTGATGTTCAAAACCACAACTTGGTTGTTGCAGTATTGGCACAGAAAGAGAAGAATAGTTTGGTGGAGCACTATTCCATCTTGCATTTTGTCAGTGTGAAACGAAAGGAATGTATCATGTTTTGGAAACAAAATTACCTCAATATAACAGATCAAGTTTTAATTGCACAGGTTTGCTTTGGTTTTGTGTAGGGAAAAAACTTGTAAATGAAACAGAATCTACAGTTACCCTCTAAAAATCCCTACAAGATTATATTAGGGTTCTTTCAGTTTTTGCTTATTTGTAGTTCTGGTCTTTTTCAAGTCCTTCATATAATAATATATTACCTTTCTCAAAGAAGAACGATGAATGGCTTACCTTCAAAAACTTCCTGCCCTTGGGAAAAGAAATTTCGACACAAAATATTTCATTTTCAATTGAAGGATACCGCCCTAAAAGACTTTCTAGCTGCCACTTTTCACCAACTTCAACTTTTACAGAAATGAGTAGCTATCAACAAGCTACATGCTGATACCGTCATACTCAAACACAGAAAAGGCAAAAAAACTTCTGGCCACAGTTCAATTCTGGACTTCCTCAAGATCCAGTTAAGGAAAATAACATGGTTTTTGAAGCTCCTTGTATATTAAAGTATTTTCCTGCCTATTCTCATACCTACCATTTTGATCTAAGATTCCAATTCTTCCATACCCTATTGTTCTAAAAAAGTGAAAAAATATTAGATATCCTACCAATCTAGAAATAAGACAATTATCCTATTAGACCTAAACAATACTAGAGATATTAAAGTGCATTATAGATCAATATGAACATGATGAACTGTCTCATATAATTACCAGTTGTATCGCATTCTATTACACAGGGTCTGCTTCACCAACAAGTACACAGGAGCCAAATCTTCAGCATTGTGAGTTAATAGGTTGTTACAAGAACGCTACAAGCCTACCACAATAAGAGACCACTGAAAAGACCGTATAAGTATCATGGCTTCACCCATTCTATAAGTTTGTACGTACTTAACTGCAACTCCTAAGGACCTAGTAAACTGACGTTATTCATGAATATGGATGTTTTTGACCAGATACAAGAGTTAAATTTTACAAAAATAGAGAACGCACAACCTCTATTAAATCCAAGGGTTGAAAGTTTTATACCCTATTCCCAATCTCTGATGAGGATGTCCCAACATTACATAGATCCAAGCCAAACAGATGAGGGGAGGTTAAAAATGTTAGAAGGTCCAGTACAAGGCAGTATAGAATAATGAGAACATAATTATCATAAAAAGAATAATGAGAACATAATAATTATACACAAAAATATTATACTTGAAACTAAGACTAGAAATAAAATAAAGCTTAGACAAACCTGAAGAGGTTCATTTTCATCAGTCGTGCCAAGCATCTCATCCACCAGGAGCTGTCTTTCGCTGGCACCACCAAAAGCTAGACACTTCTCAACAACATTAGAGGCGAACTTCTGCTGGCTCATTTGCACAATCTTCCCAGCTAGTTCCTCAATAATAGCAGAACGCTCGTGTGGCTTCCCATGCTCCAGGACATGCTGCCAGTGTTGCATTTAAAATAAAAGGGGGAGGGTGGGGGTATATTAGCAACGGATGAGAAAAATCTTCAAAGGAACAGGAGTGCTAAAGAACATAGCATGGTTGGATTCCA